ATCAATGTTGAGCTTAATATCCGTCTTTTTTCCTTTATGCTTATGCCGAAAAAGTTATGAATAAAAATGAGAGATATCATTAAAATATAAACACGGTTTTTAAGCTAGTAATGGACAAGGAAAATCATTTAATGGACATCCAGTGATGAACATGCACCAAATATGGACATCTAATAATGAACACAATTTAATAATGGACCCCCACTAATGGACCAGCTCGTTGAATTTAGAATAAGAAGTTGTTCCCTATATCTAAGTAAATAAAAACATCAACAATTTTATAATCAACTAGACATTTATTATATTTTTATTTTTTAAAGCATTTATTTGCTAGATTATAAATCTAAAGAAAATTTTTACTAAAAAAATCCACGCGGTCCAGGCAGCAGACGGGACTCGAAAATGCACCTTCCGCTATCCGGGCAGATGCACTGACCATTATGTTACCGTGATCTATGCCTTGCAGCCTAAGAAATACAAGCTGAAATTACACGAATGGGTTTAGTTAGTATACATACATACACTCTCGAAAAACATTACCCTCCTTTCTTCGGCAGTCAGGTAAAAAGTTAGTATAATAAAAACGAGTGGATACCTACCGCTACGCTACCGTTGGCGTTGAAGTACCAAAATGGTGGCGTATTTCTACTTCTACGCTATCGTCGCGTTGAGAAAACCACTTATATCTCTGTAAATAAAGTATGATTTGAGTTGCATTATAGCTCCAAACATGGCTTTCACTTCTATTAACATGATGCACTATTTGTTTTTCGTGTAACAATCAAACTTACTTTTTTATGCACAAAAATCTTACCTTGAAAAAATTGTGTACACAAACTACACCAGACGTTCACATGTCAACTGTCAAAAATATAGCGGCTCATCAAGCCGCTGTCCACAGATTACAGAAACTCAGTGTTGCCACTTCCCGATTTGAACTTCACCGATTCCTAAAGTTTAATAGAACATGGAAAATAGGTGGCGTTGACAAAAGTGGCGTATAAGTACAGTTTTTGACGAAAACTTATTTGAAATCATTTTCAAGGAAATTCTTAGGATAAACGTTGCTAAATTAAAAGCACGGATAGCTATTAATATAAGTATTCTTATAGTATCAGCCATGTCTCAAAAACTGACATACTTTTTGCTACTACGATAGTTAAAGTGCACCTCTACCTCGGCGAATAGAAGTTTTTATGTAATTTTACTACCTTTTTTCAGATTTCATTCGAAATATATTTTTTGTTTATTATCTGACCTGAAATAATCATAATGTCCACTTGAGTCACTTTGTTGCTTAATCCAAAGCCGTCATCGAAAATCCGATATCTATAATACTTTTCAAAATACTGACCGCGGAGAAAACAGTTTTCAAAATCAGCAAAAAATGGCGGCCTGACCCAAACATAACTTTTCTGCTAGTCCTAAGCCTAGATTTAAAGCATGAAGGAAAATCGCGCAAATCTACGAGTATCCTTGCTTCCTACAATTAATTGTTTGTGATTGTCGTTAGCTAATAAAACCAATTCTTAACACAAACTAGTGAATTGGCTTAGTTAGGTACATCTGAAATCGGAAATCTAAAAACGGATTTTGAAATCTGAAATCAGATATATATCCGTTTGCGTTCAAAACCAAAAACGCCCATGTCTAGTACGATATACTCGTATTTAGACCCCATTCCCCTTATTAATAAACGAAGACTAATCTTGGATGCGGACGCTCAATGTTTTGTTTCTATCAATAGATAATTTAGATTATATTGACAATTGGTATTTAAGTGACACGAACAAAACACAGCGTAACTAGTCCAAGCTTATGCCTTGTTTATTAATAAAGCAACATAAGTTTATGTATCGGTGACTAATGGAGTTTCGACTCGTATAAATAAATTACTGATTTATTTTGTTCTTCTGTGAAAATTAATAGTAGGTACTAAGAAGTCATTACTTATGATTAGGCATAATTTACACGTTCAATAAGGGAGTGTAATGTTCATATAAGTACGTATATATATTAATGTAAGCATTTTTTATTCCTCCAAAACTTCTAAAAGTCTGAACACATTTTGATGTAACTATATAAGAAGGGCTGTAGTTTCAAAAGGGAATTTTGGAAGACTGTTCATTTTATTTGATTGGCCCATTCTATACCTCTGGTCCATTTTCTTAACCATCTACGAAAGAAGCATTCACATTTTCCTAACTGGTTAAGAAAAAAGAAAATTTTATTCGTTTTCACAATTTGTTAAGAAAACCTGTAAGGAAAGACAAGAACTACAGAATTCTATCATAGTTGTTTTCTTTTCATCTTACGTTTTCACGCACACCAATCATTATTTATTTTTGTTTTCTAGTGTTTAATCGTACTGTGTTATGTGTTGTGCATTATAGAGATTAAATCTTTTTATTTTATCTTTCTTTATGTGTGAAATACTAAATACATTGTGTAAACTGTATACTGTAAACGTGTGAAACTATGAGAATCTACATCTCCTTTTTATTGAAGAACAGTTTGATTTGACAGAAATTACTCCAAATGAATTATCGATTTTTAAGGAAATTTAATTAAAGTATAGTGTTGCTGTTTTCAGTACCTACCTACTAGTCATGTGTTTGTGTATTACTGAAATCATGGGATAGTTATCCATAGTTTTAGAAAAAAAAACTAAGGAGTAATTGTAATCAATCACTGCTTTCATCACCATCAGCTGATACTTCCATCGCATTCACTAGTAAGTATATATTTTTTACCAAGACTACCTAAACGGGTGATTCAGTTTGACTTTTAATATATTTACTGCCGAGCTAGGCAACAACCTGGATGAAAGTTTGTAAAGAATTTCATTTACCGGTTATCATCAGTTGTATTTTGTAATGATAATGATATAAATCTGAGTTCACGACCTCTTTTTGTATTATGTACTATGATCATTTACAACACGACCTTTGGTAATCTGATAAAAAAGTGTAAAGCCACAGTTTAACAAATTTGCTTTTAAGTAATATCACGTACACTTATTCTTTAAACAGATAAAAAATGGGTGAAAAAGTACTTTAAGAAGCTCGGTGGCGCAGTGGTTACCTAACTCGCGATTGTAGAATGTTAGTAACTTTTGTATGGGTGATCAATCGTACTCCTCCGTTCTTTGCTTGGTCGGTAGATACGTTAACCAACCAATCTGCGATGCAATTCACTGACTGGCACTTGAATACGTGGTCTTAAGTTAAGCCAGGCTGCTTTAGGAGTTACTCAGACGGTGTACTAGCCGGTGCCTAATAGCATACTCACCATGGAATATGCTCATTTCATGCCACATTTATAAGTTTTTGACGCTCGTACGGGAATCAAAATCTATAGGGTCAACTTCCCGATGACCTAGAATCAATAAAAGCAAGAAAAGGTTTCAATATTATTTTTTGTGGCAAGAAGCATATACTATAAGTTTGTATGGAACCTTCTTTCAGTGCGCAAGGACAAGTTGAAGTTGACTAGCTTTTTTATAAAAGTTTTAAGAACCTTAATTGGCTCTCTATTCCAATTTGATAATGGTTCGTGCTAAGGGTATTTTACCCCTAATAATCAATAACGAACGTATCAATATTAAATTCGAATAGTTCGTGAGTACGAAATTTCATTGTGAAATATGTACTGATTTTTAGTTCTCGTCACGTCCGTTTTAGCGCTGCTGTTCAAGTTTAATAAGTTTGTATGGAACCTTCTTTCAGTGCGCAAGGACAACTTGAAGTTGACTAGCTTTTTTAAAAAAAATTAAGAACCTTAATTGGCTCACTATTCGAATTTGATAATGGTTCGTGCTAAGGGTATTTTACCCCTAATAATCAATAACGAACGTATCAATATTGAATTCGAATAGTTTGTGCTACCAACACTACCACCGCTATAATGACAACAATAATTTAAATAAATATTTAATTATTTATTATAAGAAGAAAAATGAAAGTACACAGACACGTCAGATGCATATTACCGGAAACACCTTGTCTGTTGATAGACTTTTGCTATCCGAGAAAAAAGGCGCATTATGATTCGTTTTTTACCAACAGTCCGACATAAGAATCTTTATTTCATTAATCTGCCTGTAATAACCTTATGTAAGTAAGTAGGTTAGTTACATCACAAATGTCATTGGTCATGTGGTCAAATGGGTAGGGACATGTAGGTATATTACCTAAACGAGTACCAATAATAAGGGCACGCTTTAAATATACATATTATAAGCAGGTAAGAATTTGCCAGTCAGCATGTAATACTTCCTTATATTATAAATCAGAAAGGAACTCTGTCTTTCGTTTACGCTTTTACGCTCAAACCGCTTAATCGATTTGATTAAATTCATTATGAAGATGAAGGGGTCCTCAGACAAGTAGGTACTAATATTACTTTGTTAAAAATAAAATTTGGAAGGGTTGAGAAATAGGGAGGAAAGCAGATGAAGTCACATGCACTCAGTCGCTATTTATAAATCTACATTGTTTGTATATAGTAAACCACATTGCATAATAAGTAGAAAATAATAAAACCGGAAATATACGCGGGCGGGAAATAGACTTGGGAAAGGGATACGAAACAGCAACAGCAAATAATAAATAATGCCTGTTATTCCTATGACAAAATATTGGTGTTAAACCTTTCTTTGACAAATGGAATAATTGTGCGTACAGCAAACTTAATTGTGTGATTAATATGCATCGTGCCTATCAATACAATAGTGAATCCGTACTTTATCAACAATGTAGGCAAGTACCTACAAGGTTGTGAAAGATTCGCTTAGCAAATAAAAGCGTGTCTAACTCTAGAACGTAATCGTCCAAAGACGAGATAAAATTACATAATGATAGGGGGATTTTACTCTAAACATCAACTGGGTCAATGTTAAGCTGAAGAAAAATCAATAAGTTCGCGCGCCGTCTCCGTGATGCATTCGCTCAGCTGACTATTGATTCTACAAGGGCAATAACAACAAAATATTATCTCACCAGTAGTATGCGATTTTCTCTCCATGCCCATTCCTCACGTTGCGGTCCAAAAGATTGAAACACACATTAGTGACAGCACCTTCCATCCATTTGACAAAAATATTGCCCTTACTTATATCGAAATTGTACGATACGAAATTGCCGGGCTGTGGAGGTGTTTGCCAATGGAACTCGTTCGCTATTTCCGACCAAAACGCTTCTGGTTCCTCGAGTGATTTTTTGTGCATCTCTTTGTATTTTTCGAACGATGGTACCCGCGATTTTTCGACGACATGGTTGGACGGTTTGTAGGCGCGCGACATCGTGCGTATCGAGTGCGCCGAGGAGCCGCGATAGCCAGACAAGTGCTACTACGCGGCGGTGCACTCGCGCTTACTGAGGAGGGAGTACTGATGGAGTGAACTGAACGTTGCTGCTTGTCACTCCGCAGTAACGACCAACCACGCGACTTGACGCCTCACGACCGTATATATACAGAGTGACGCATGCGTGGAGGGCGCATGAGCGCCGTATGAATAAAAAAACTTTTATCCAGATTTAATTGCACTGAAAGACCATCTTATCTTAACGTAACGATAGTAATATATATGTCATACTACCTATTTAATTTAACTAAAACATGACGTTATCACCCAATGTGTATCTAACTGACCTCAGCCGACTCTAGTCAGCTATGGATGTCAATATATTTATTTTTCGGATATAACTCAAGCTCGTCTGTACAAATTCATTATCATAATAATAAAGGTATATAATTTACGAAGACTAGATGGAGTAGGTAGAAACCACTTACTCCATTGTAAAACTACAGTAAAAGAAATTGTAGTTTGGTAGTTTTACCTGGAAAGTTTTCCGGGAGTTTTGAAATTGGTAATTTTACAGATTGTGAGGTGCTCTTTCCGAATTTAGATTTGCCACCTCGTATTTGTGCCGCTCGCGCCGCCATATTGGAAAAATAGCGCCTAAAAGCAATTTTTTGACAATATCTCTTTTCCGACTCATTTTACGATAAAAACAGTTATATACAAAATGAAACTAGAGATAATTTCCTACAATTTATGTTTAACCTTTTTTTCATAATGTCAATAGTTTTGGCGTATGACCCCCGCAAAATGTACTCCAACGCGCGCTCTGGTCATTACTCATTATTGTGGATATTAAGCTTGTGGATGCAGAAAGGCTGGGTTAAAGTGCTCTGTTATATACCCGAATTGTAGCGGTACCTGTGGTAACTCGCAAGTTCCATCACCAGATAGCGATGATGAAGAATAAACGCAGACTATAATTGAGCAAACATATGATCAAATCGAGAACGAACAGGATTGCGATGAAATTGATACTCCCATCGCGGATGATGTTGATGAAATACCGATCTGTGACGTTTCGATTGGTACTACAGACGATGAATTTGCAACACCTGGTCCATCGAGAATAACAAATCGAAGGAGAATACGCTAAATTTTAGCACATTGAATTGCATGTGGACTAGGCCTATTGGGGATACCACATTAAAAAAAACGCGCCACTTACTCTACCTAATAAGAGTTTTTTTTTGGGCAAATTGCGCGGAGTACACTTCGCGGTGCTCGTACGCCAAAACTATTGAATTTATGAAAAAAAGGTAAAATATAAATTGTAGGCAATTGTCTCTAGTTTCATTTTGTTTTTAACTATTTTTATCGTAAAATGAGTCGAAAAGGAGATAATGTCAAAAATTGCTTTTAGGCGCCATTTTTCCAATATGGCGGCGCGAGCGGCCAAAATACGAGGTGGCAAAGTCGAAATTCGAAAAGAGCATATCTAAATTTATAATATTACCAATTTTCAAAACTCCCGGAATTTTTTATGGGAAATCACTATATTTCTAACCAAATGACTGTACTAAAAAGAAAATTGCAGCAAATTATTTTCGTGGAGTTAAGACACAGGACATTTTTCGTCTAAACTAGTAAGTACCTACCTCCGTCTATTGAATAATATAATAAGCGTCCGTCACCAGGGGTGTACCTGTTTACCCTAGGGTTACCAACTTTTGTTCCGTCAAATATAGTATTTTCAAAGCTGTTGTCTGCTGTGTTACCTCTAAAATTATAGTAGATGGCAAAAAATTAAAAAAAAAATGGGTGCGTGTACTTATGTAGGCGCGTGAGAAGTTATCCTTCTTTGGCATCGTTTAAAATTAGTTTTTAATTGCATGCAAATAATTAATTACAATAAATTAATAAAAAGTCTGGAAAAGGACACAGTCAATAAAGTTCAGTTTTAATTTGAAAAAATAAATAAATAATCAAAATATTCAATTAAATTCGCTACTGAATATAATTTATTAGAACATATGTGATTAGCACTTGTATGAAACTCAAACACGTATTCCGAATATACAAACTAGAAACACGTGGATAAATATTATAAATATGAATACCTATAACTGTTACTTTATTACAAAAAATAAAGATGTGGTGTTTGGTTCTACTACACCAATGGTCAAGAGATGGCGCTGTAGTCTCCTGGATCGCGCTTTGGTTCCGTTGTTCCAGATTTATAAATACTTTTGATAGGCCTTCACAATGCAGTCGTTAGCACCCACTAAATAGAGATTCTATTTCTGTTTTGTTGGTAGATTTTCTTAATATGCGGTAAACACAAAAGTAACAGCATAAGAATGCTGTTAATATTTTGTGTTACAGTGATGCGCGCGCATCTTAAAATTTCACTCTCATCATTTTTTCATAACGCGCCTAAAGAAGTATAACTTCAAAAAATAGTGTGTGCTTTAAATATTTACTTGAAATTTGAAATGAATATATTTTTGCTGCTATATGCCTTAATAATATTTTTTTTACTTTTAAGAAAGCTTTTACTGGCAAAAGTTTGCTTTAAGCAAACTTGCATCGTATCCGACAGGCAATAAAGCGTTTTGGTCCCTGGCAAAATCGGTCGAGGCGAACTTCTGCCGTCCCTCACTGCCTCCACTGCAGAAGCCTGATGGGAGTCTGGCTCACACTGCTGAAGAGAAAGCAAATCTTTTTGTTTCTCAATTCACGGAAGCCTCGAGTCTTGATGCTGGTAGCGCGGTACCTCCCACATCATTTGGCTGCTCGACAGCGATGTCGAACATTCGCATTCGCCAAGCGGAGGTGCGTAAAGTCCTACGCAATCTCGACGAGAACAAAGCCAGTGGCCCTGATGGTATTCCTGCAATAGTTCTGAAGACCTGTGCACCTGAATTGTCTCCTGTTCTGACACGCCTCTTCCGGCTCTCCTTGGAAACTGGACAAGTGCCTAAATCCTGGAAGCTTGCTAATGTGCAACCGGTGCCCAAAAAAGGAAGTCATGCTGACCCTGCGAACTACAGACCAATATCTGTCACTTCATTACTCTGTAAGAGCACGGAACGTGTTCTGAACCACAAGATCCTAGCGTACCTAGAAGCAAATGACCTCCTCAGTGATCGACAATTCGGATTTCGCCGAAACCGGTCCACTGGGGACCTTTTAGTGTACGCTACTCACATTTGGAGTGCAGCCATTGAGAAGCACGGAGAAGCGCTGGCCGTGTCTCTCGATATCTCGAAGGCTTTCGACATGGTTTGGCATGACGGCCTTATAAGCAAACTTCCTTCGTACGGCTTGCCCACTGCACTATGCGCCTGGATATCTGACTTCCTGCGAGATCGGTCTATAACAGTAGTTATAGATGGCTGCCAATCACATCGTAAAGCTGTTAATGCCGGAGTTCCGCAGGGGTCTGTACTCTCTGCAACTCTTTTTTTGCTCCAGATCAACGATCTGCTTAAACCCGGTACCTTTGGGTATGCAGACGATAGCACAGTCGTAGAGAGCTATATATCAAATGCGCGTGCCAGTGCGGCCGAAGTTCAATCACTCCGAGAAGCCATGGTCAACCGCTTAAACTTGTCCCTTCAGGCAGTCTCCGATTGGGGCGATGCCAATCTGGTCAAGTTTAATGCTTCTAAGACTCAGGCGTGTCTGTTCTCCGCTAAAAAGAGGGTGTTTCAACTGGCCCCTTCTTTCCGAGGTGTAATCGTGCCGGTAACCGAACAGCTCGAGCTTCTAGGAATAACTCTCACCTCAACTCTCAACTTCGGTACCTACATTGAGTCCAGAGCTCAACTGGCTGCAAAAAAGCTTGGCGTCCTCGGAAGGGTGCGCAAGTACTTTACTCCGGAACAGCTGCTCACCTTGTACCAAGCACAAGTTCGCTCGTGCATGGAGTACTGTTCGCACCTTTGGGACGGTTCTGCAAAATATCAGCTAGAGTCTCTGGAGTGCATTGAGAGGCGTGCAAGGAAGCTCATCGGTGACGACAAATTATTCGAGACTAGACTCCAAAGTCTTGAACACAGGCGAAAAGTTGCCTCTTTATCGGTTTTTTACCGGTTACATTTCGGAGAGTGTGCCTCGGAGTTACATAACTTAATTCCACCTTCACCTTTTTACCACAGAACCACCAGAGAGACGGCAAAACGCCACAGATATACCGTAGAGGTCCCACAAACTCGTACTAAACGGTTTGCTTCCACCTATATAGTCAGAACAGCTAGGTTGTGGAACTCTTTGCCGGAATCTCTGTTTCCAGTCACCTATAATCTGGGGCTCTTCAAGTCGCGAGTCAATCGGTTTCTTCTAGGCAAGCGCGTCCCACCTTAGGCTGCTACGTCGCTTTTCATCAGTCGCGTGGCCGTCAAGTGTAAGCCTATTTAACGTAAAAAAAAAATATAGTAGTTTCGCCTACTATATTTTTTTTTGAAATATCGTATTTGATCCCGGATAGTACGCCGTAAACGCTCGTAAACCGCGCGGCCTGCTTAACGGCTTATCTGTTTCGCACCCGTGAGACTTGCGATAGGCTAGGTGTGAGGTCGGTTCGTTGGTGTGACCTTTAAGGGCGCCAAAGTCAAAGAGGTTTTACCTGCGTAATAAAAAAAAAGGGCCAAGAGGACTGGACTGTGAACCTCTTGCAGCCACCCAGTTTGTCTGTAACGTCTTCACGCTTAAACCAGCAAGCCGATTTAGACAATATTTGATATAGATGATGCAGCATTTTGAAAACAGTTGACGAAATATATTTTCAAATGACAAAAAAACAATAAAATTTTCGCGCCACCAAATTCAAATTTAGAACACAGGTGGCCAGAGATACGAATTTAAAAATGACATATTTATTTTTTAAATTTTAACTTTTTAAATAGCAGAGGCTAGTTACTTATCATCCCGCCCTCGTAGATTACCTGGAAAAGACAAAGTATAGATTTTTTAATCCTAGAACTCATTATTTAAGGGGGGTGGAAGATAAAGACACCAATTTTTCCTGCAGATGAAGTCTGCGCTAGTAGTTAAAATGAGATAAACTAAAAATTACCAAAATACTACAGCTGAAATATAGCTACAACATGCTCTTAGACAACAACTAGAAACC